TTTCCTGCAGTGGTCCTCCCGTCGACGTCCACGTAGTTCTTGCCGCTGAAGCTTGGATGGTTGACATGTTCGTCGCAATCCTGCTTCACAGATCGCAACTTTGTCATCGTCTGCGTGAGTGCTACAAACGTAGGTTGGCCAATTCTCGTAGTAGCCGATATTGTTGCTGTTGTTGTTGCTGGTGTTCCTCGTCTGTCGTCACCTTCGCTGTAAAGAAGCGCTGTCAAACTTGTACGTGCAGGGCCTCTATGCATGCTAACGTCTCATCTGGTCGCCCGCGCGTCCGCAACTCCCTCCACGTATCTTCCTTATCCAGCAACTTGGCCTGGACGGCGCGTAAGAATTCGGGTCGTTGAGTTGCCTTGCGCACTGCCTTCATATTGGCGCCCACGTTCCACTGCCAGCGGGTCGTCTTTTCCCGCGGGGCATAGCTCTTCACGCTTAAAATTTCTACATCGAATGGCACGTGGTCTCTGGGCCGTCGTCCACGGTGCGCCTGGGGCGCGGTGCCAAGTCGATATGATGTGCGGTATGTCGTCACACAGTCCGTCATGCCCAGCGGGGCGCACATGACATCGGTCCACCGGATGAACCATACACTATAGATCGCAAGCCATCCGATCGAGTATGCATCGCCAACAGGTGATGCTGCTCATGGATCTGTCGTGGCCGCTCACCTGCCTCATTTTCCTGTGCTCTCGGCTGCGACCAGTTCCGACTGCATTTGCGTCGACTTCCTGCCATGAGCCTGCCGCGCGACTGGTACCCTGGCCGTCGTTGAAGTCAACATACAAGATGGGCGCGCTCGGGTTGGGAAGCGCCGACAACACAAAGTCATACCACCTACTGAGGACGCGCACCGTCTGAAAATAGTTGGGGGCCTCCTTCGCGTACTTCGCCCGCGGTGGGTAACATAATACCACCATCGTAATGTCCAGTGGGCCTCTTACCAGGCGAAATGCCACAGCTCTCCCGAAGGCCCGGGGGGGGTGGGACCACATCCTGCGAATACTCTTCTGCGAGATAGAAGGGTGCAGCATGATTGCACACCGTGTCGATCGATTCGTATAGGGGCCCTCTCCTGCTTCCGCCCCCAGAATCTTGTGCCCCAAGACTTTCCTTCCCAAGATCTCCTCGGTCTTCCTGTGGTTCGAACGGGTTCCAGCCAATGCAGTAGTGTCCATACTGGTGCAAACCATGATTATTTATTCCATTCGCGATCCAGCAGCATGGAGAGGGTTAGATCCAAGAGCGCGGGGAGTCATCGGCCAGCGGGCCGCCGATGTCTGGCTTCTGCCAGCGCACCGCGGGCAGCCGTCTGGAGGCCCCATTGCGCCCGCACCAGAGGGCCACTCTAGCGTCAAGTCGGGCGTGCCTGTCGGGGGTGGGGGGGGGGGCGCCCTGCTCGGGGTCGAAGCTCGGGGCTCGGGGCTCGGGGCGCCCTGCTCGGGGTCGAGGCTCGGGGCTCCGAGAGGAAGGGGATCGAGGCTGTCTTTGTTGGGGATGGGGCGCCCTGCTGGGGTCGAGGCCCAGGGGCCCCTCGATTTTCCGAGAGGAGGGGGGAACGAGGCTCCTGTTGCGATGGGAGGGCCCTTTGGAGGCTCCTGTCGGGAGCCTGCTGAGGGGATCTTCGACGCAAAATTCAAAAAAAAACACTGCAAAACCGCAACATGTTTGGACTATGTTTGGATTTTCCCCCTGTAGAAGGACAGGCCCGACCTAACTCTAGCGACAGGTCGCTGTTACGTGGCCGACTTCGGAAACCCTTAAACCAAACATGCTGTCACCTCTTGGGAGGCCGAGTTCTACTCGTAAGTCGGGCCCATGACTCAACGGGGGGAATACGCCAACATAGTCAGAAAACAGTCGGTGGATTATTTTTGGATATCCAGTTTGGAACATCTGCTGAGTATGTTTTATCTTGCGTCGAAAGTCCCCCTGCAGGGGGGCACTCCCGACTTCATTCCACTTCCGCCGCTTTCCGCCAGCCCCCCGCCGGCGGAGCCGCCCTGGTGCCACTGCCGCCGCCCTTGCCGCCGCCCTCCCGCCGCGGCAGCGATGACAGCCCCAGACATTTTTTGGCTTGCGGGTCGAGAGCGAGCCTCTTCCGATTAAGAGCTAGGCGGGCCGCGCAAAGCACTAATTGGGGAGACAGAGCATAGGCGGGCGGGGCCTCAGGCGGCCGGAGGGCGTTGGGTGCAGGCGGTGCTGAGGAGCATGGGCAGGAAAAGGAACACCTTGGACAGGAGCCGGAGGCGAAGTCCCCGAGGGTGAGCGGTGTGGTGTTGCCGTCGACGGCGCATCAAAATCACCATCACGACAGCCCCAGACATGCGACGCCCTGATTTGTCGGTGCGGCGCCCCCGGAAGTGCAGACCCCTTCCCCGGGGCCGGCCTGTCATCCTGCAGGCCGTCTTTTCACGGCCCCGGGGCCCGGCGAGGGCCCCCAGGGCCGACTCTCTTGTGCAACACCTCCGCGCTGAAATTATCTTGTTGTTTTTTTCCCGACGCGATATCATGTCTGGGAGGACGCCTCCTGCGGTCCTCGCAGGCAAGGCCCCTTTTTGTGGGGCGCTCCGCGCCTGGCCGAGCAGACCCTGACCTTCCAGGAGGGCTAAAAAATAGCGCGCCACTTAAAAAAAATCTCCCAGAGCTATTATACGTCTTGGTTTTAGGCTGTTCCGTATCGTGTTTTAGGTGTTTAGGTCTCCAGTGCTAAAAAATAGCTCTCTGAAAGGTCAGGGGAGGGGGGAGCTCCCGGGAGCGGGCCCCCGCCTGGCCGCGGCTCCCGGCGCTCCGCCGGCGAGGGCGGGCACCGGGCCCGCGGGGGCGGGGACAGCCGCGGCTCCGCCGGCGGAGGCGCCAGCCTCGGAGGGACGGTCGCGGCCGCCAACGTCGCTCGCCGTCGCCGTCGTTGTCGACGTCGTCGTCGTCGTCATCGCTCGTCGCTCGTCCTTCGTCGCTCGTCGCTCGTCGCTCGTCGTTCGTCGTTCGTCGTCGTCGTCGCCCTCCTCCTCGGCGAGGGCGGCAACAGCGCCTGCTGCTCCGCCCCTAGCGCGCTGCGCGCGCCGGGAAGGATGGGGGTCCAGCGCCGATCCACGAACTCGGCACGGATGTCCGAACATGCATACGTAACACGAGTGCTTGTGTTGTTCGATCCTCCTTCGCTTCCCCACCATCATGATCCACCACGTGGCGAGCACCATCATCCTCATTATCCTCCTCCTCATCATCATCAGCAGCATCATCATGTTCATCATCATCATCATCATCATCATCATCAGCAGCAGCAGCAGCATCGTCATCATCAGCATCATCAGCATCATCATCATCAGCATCAGCATCATCATCAGCATCATCAGCAGCATCATCAGCAGCATAATCATCATCAGCAGCAGCTCCGTCATCATCATCATCATCATCATCATCATAAGCATCAACAGCAGAAGCATCACTATCGTCATCCATGTCATCAGAATCGTCATTAACACCAGCATCATCATCAGCAGCATCATCATAATCATCCCATGATCATGCTCATCATCCTCCTCCTCCTCATCCTGAGCATCATCATCCTTAGCATCACAACCGTTATCCATGCCATCCTAATCGCCATCAGCATCACCATCAGCATCATCACCAGCACCAGCATCATCATAATCAGCATCAAGATCATCCACATCCTTCTCCTCCTCATCAGCATCGCGAGATCCATCATCATATTCAGCATCATCACCACCACCACCATTATCATCATCATCATCATCATAATCATCATCATCATCATCATCGACATCCATGTAATCAGAGTCGTCATCATCAGCATCATTACCACCACCAACATTATCAGCAGCATCAGCATCAGCACAGCATCATCATCACCAGCATCATCACCACCATCATAATCAGCATCAGCATCAGCATCGTCATCATCACAGTCATCATCACCATGATCATCATCATCCTCCTCCTCCTTATCATCATCATCACCATCGTCAGCATCGTCGTCATCATCATAAACGTCATCAGCATCGTAGACCTCATCCTCGCCATCTGGTGACATGTGCGGTTTTGCTTTCTCTTCAAAGCGCCTTCTCCTCCTGATTCCTCCTCCTCCTCCTCCTTCTTCTCCTCCTCCTCCTTCTTCTCCTCCTCCTCCTCCTCCTCCTCTGGCCAATGCCCTCCCCAATCGGCCCCTTCCGAGTTGTCAGATCATGCCAACATCGACCGATTCTGGGTCGCCAGCGGCATTCAACGTTGAACGCAGGCGGCGGGGTTGCCGCCAGTCGACACGACGCGAACATACTCCGAGTTTCTCAATAAGCGTCGGGGGGGCGCCACCACCACCGACAGCCCCACATCGACCCCCGTCGCGGCGCAACGACGAGGCGAGACTGACACCCGTCGGGGGGTACCCCCCCACGCTTATCATCAAGAGACCCAGAGTACCGTACCGCGACCTCAACTCGCTCTCCTCCCCAAGGTCGACCCCCAGGTCTCGAGACCCCCTTCTCCGGGACCTGTTTTTTCTACCCCCGAGTCGTTTTCTGACGGTCCCGAGGCCGGGTGAGGGCCCTAAAAGGCCGACAGCAGCGGAAAACCTCCCGTCGCCAGTAGTTCCCAACGCGACGAGATCTGGGTGCCCCCGTTCCCGGCCCCCCCTGCTTCACCTGACACGGTCCGTGAACATGGCCACCCCTGGCGCGCGGCGAGCAAAACGGGGGAGGGAGGAGGAGGAGGAGGAGGAGGAGGAGGAGCAGCAGGAGGAAGAGGAGAAGGAGGAGGAGGAGGAGGAGGAGGAGGATGAGGAGGAGTAGGACGGGAGGAGGAGGGGGGAGGACAAGGAGGAGGGGGAGCAGGAGGGGGAGCAGGAGGGGGAGGAGGGGGAGCAGGAGGGGCAGGAGGAGGAGGAGGAGGAGAGGAGGAGGAGGAGGAGGAGGAGGAGGAGGAGAAGGAGCAGGAGGAGGAGTGGGTCTGAGTGAAATCGGGACGATGTTTTTTTTGTCCGACGGCAGCTCTTTGGGAGAGGGAGTGGCGGCTGCCCGGCGGGCCGCCCCTACCCGCCGGCCGCGTGCCACCGCTCCAGGGGCTTGAACTCCGCGAGGAACTCCTCGCTGGGAGGCGAATGCCGGGAGGTCTTCGTCGGAAGGATACTTCACGGGCGAAGAACTGAATGACATAAACGCTTCCGCCGGAAATTCCGAGCCCTCGGCCCCAGGAAGCCTCCAGGAGGCCCCAGGAGGCCCCCGAGAAGCCCCCAAGAGGCTCCCCAGAGGCCCACCAGAGGCCCAAAAGAGGCCCCAAAACGGCCCCCCCAAAAAGGCCTCCAAAGTGATGCCAAGAGGCCCCTGGAGAGACCTGCGGCGTAAGCCCAAGAATGCGCTAATTCCGCCGCTGGGGACGCCCGCGCCAGGGCGGCTGGAAAGTCTATACCCCGACGCGCCACCGGAAAGGTATATCACAACTCTCCAGCCGCCAAGGGGCAGGCGTCCCCGACGGCGGAGCAGTTTATTGGATACCGTTTCTCGCCCGCGAAGATGGAGGAGGATTGGGCCCCATTGGGGGACTGCTCCGCCAGATCCGGCCCCGGAGCAAGCGGGATCAAGCCCGACTGGTCGGGATTGCGCCGAAGCAAGCGGGATTCAGCAAAATGAAACGGGACCAGGCCGGATTCGGCCAGACCAGGGCAAAGTCAGAATTTGACCCCCCAGGAGTTGCATCCGAGCTCCTCGTAGTCGAACTCACGCGGCTGCAGGTTGAAGCGCTTCACCCAGGAGAACCTTCGGTGGCAACTCATGGGAGCCTCCCATACCATCTTGTCGGTTCGTGCGAGTCGACGCTGGTCGACGCTAGATGGACGCTAATCGACGCTAAATCGACGCTAGTTGACACTAAACGGTGCTACATCTGCGCTATCTCATCGACCCACAGACGCTAATCGACACTAGTCGACGCTAAAAACAAAACTACCATGGTACACTTAGGTCGGGCATGTCCTCCTACAGGCGGACTTTCGACGAAAAATGAAAAACAAGTGAAACACAATATTCGAACATGGGCAACTAGATGTTATTATATGTTGCTTTCCCCGGACTATGTTCTACTATGTTTGAGTAGTCTTCCTGTAGAGGGACACGCCCGACGTAACACCAGTCGACGCTAAGAGCAGAACTCGCAGGGTACACGAGGCTCCCATGACGTGATGCCGAGAGAACCGCCGCACGCGAGGAGAAGGGCTCGGGAGGCGGCTCCTGGGAGTGAGGCGGCGCCGGGGGCAGGGATAACACCGGGTGGGGATACCTCGAGAATGTCCTCCTCCTCCTCCTCCTCCGCCTCCTCCTCCTCCTCCTCCTCCTCCCTCCTCCCTCCTCCTCCTCCTCCCTCCCTCCTCCTCCTCCTCCTCGTCCCTCCCTCTCCTCCCTCCTCCCTCCTCCTCCTCCTCCTCCTCCTCCTCCTCCTCCCTCCTCCTCCCTCCTCCTCCTCCTCCTCCTCCTCCTCCTCCTCCTCCTCCTCCTCCTCCTCCTCCTCCTCCTCCTCCTCCTCCTCCTCCTCCTCCTCCTCCTCCTCCTCCTCCTCCTCCTCCTCCTCCTCCTCCTCCTCCTCCTCCTCCTCCTCCTCCTCCTCCTCTCTCCTCCTCCTCCTCCTCCTCCCTCCTCCTCCTCCTCCTCCTCCTCCTCCTCCTCCTCCTCCTCCTCCTCCCTCCTCCTCCCTCCCTCCTCCTCTCCTCCTCGCTCCCTCTCTCCCTCCTCCTCCTCCCTCCTCCTCCCTCTCCTCCTCCTCCCTCTCCTCCTCCTCCGCCTCCTCCTCCTCCTGCTCCTCCTCCTCCTCCTCCTCCTCCTCCTTCTCCTCCTCAGGGGCACAAGGGTGAAATCGGGTGAGGATACCAATTGAGAGTTTCTGCGATCCGGCGGCTCTGGAGGATGCCTCGGGCGCCGCGGCCTTCTGGATGCCTCGGGCGCCGCGGCCTTCTCGGAGCGTTCCAGAACATTCTGAGAACGATCCAGAACACTCTGGGACGGAGTCATCCTCGTCCTAGCCCCGTCTGGGCTCAGGAGGCGACTCCTGGGAGGGGACTTCGTGGACAGAATTCAGGGTCACACTCAAAGGCCAATGGGGCCGCACTGGACCAGATTAGGCTCTGGATGAAGCCGGATGAAGGGCGGGATGTGCAGGATCAAGCAGGATTGGGCGGGACTGTGTTGGATTAGGCTGGTTTTCGACCGCGGATATAAAGTTCTTAGCCGTTGTAACGCACGGGGGGGCGCTAAGCTTTAAAAGCTTGAGCTTGAAGCTTCAGGTCTGGTCTGGCTGGTTTGGTTGGACTGGTCTGAGCTCAGTGCTGAAGATTTAGCTTAGGATTCGGGCGAGAGTGGTTTAGGGGAGGTCCAGGGAGGCAGCGCCAACCACTCCCACCGAAAAGCAATTGTTTTGCATTGCCCATATTTGTTTCGTTTGTTTTGCATTGCAGTTGTTTTGCATCTGGTCTGGCTGGTCTGGTTGGTCTGGTTTGAGCTGAGTCCTCAGGCTTCTCTTGGGATTCGGACGAGAGTGGTTCAGGGGAGATCCAGGAAGGCAGCGCCAACCACTACCACCGAAAAGCACTTGTTGTGTTCATTGCAGTTTATGTTGCTTTGCATTTTGTTTGTACATTGCAGTTCTTTGGCACTTGGTCTGGCTGGTCTTGTTGGTCTGATTTGAGCTTAGTGCTGAAGCTTTAGCTTAGGACTCGGGCGAGAGTGGTTTAGGGGAGGTCCAGGGAGGCAGCGCCAACTACTACAACCAAAAGGCAATTGCTTTTTCATTGCATATGTTTTGCATATGTTCTGGATGGTCTGGTTGGTCTGGTCTGAGCTTAGTGCTGAAGCTTTGGATTCGGATTCGGGCAAGAGTGGTCAAGGGAAGGTCCAGTGGGCAGAACCAACCACTACCACGGAAAAAAAAAACAATTCTTCTTTGTATTGCAGTTGTTGTTATTTGCATGTTTTTGTTTGCATTGCAGTTGTTTTGCATCTGGTCTGGATGGTCTGGTTGGTCTGGCCTGGTTAACGTGCTTCGTGAATCGCACACTCCATGGTCTCTCTGGTCCGGTCTGGTGTTTGGTCGAGCTGGTCTGGCCTGGTCTGTCTGGTTGATCGGGTCTGGTTTGGTCCCGTTGGTACGGTTCGGTTGGTCTGGTTTGGTCTGGTCAGTCTGGTCCAGTTGGTCCCACCAACCGGTCTTGTTTGGTCTGGTTGGTCTGGTCTGACCAACGTGCTTCGTGAATCGCCCCCCTCCCCCCTCACCGTGGTCTGCCTGGTCTGGTCTGGTGTTTGCTCTAGCTGATCTGGCGTGTTCTGGTTGGTCGAATACAATTCACCTGTTTGGTCTGGTTGGTCTGGCATGGTCTGGTCTGGCTGGTCTGGTCTGGTCTGGTTGGTCTCGTTTGGTCAGGTCGGTGTGGCTTGGTCTGGTCGGTCTGGTCTGGTTGGTCTCGCTGGCTGGTCTGGTTTGGTCTGTTTGGTCTAGTCTAGTCAACGTGCTTCGTGAGTCGCTCCCCGCCCTCCCCCCCTGGTCTAGCTGGTTTGGTCAGCGGCTCGGGCGGCTTAGAATACCAGCGCCGAGGCTGAGCTTTCCCTCCCAGGAGTTGAACCCTAAGGAACCAGACCCCTGACGACGTGACTTCTGGACAAAGTCGGACCCCGCGACTGGCTTTTCATCCTGAGTCGCCTTTTGAAGGTCACAGGGCGCAGTAAGCACCCGCGGCAGCCGAAAATAGCGAAAAACCTCCCGTCGCGAGCATTTTAACTGCGAGTTTTTCACAACGCGAGCGGGTCTGGGGAAGGGTCCTGGAGTCCCAGACCTCCTCGCGCTGCGATCAAGATCGCTGCGGGAGGTTTTGACCAATTTGCGCCCTCTGGGGGCTTTCACCCAGCCCCAACAGGACCGGCGAAAAATTCACTGTCTGAAAAAAAACGCTCCCAGGAGTCCTGATCTCTGGGGGTCTACGTTGTGAGAGCAAATACGACGTTGCAGTTCTGGGGGCTTTTGAAATTACCGCGAGCGTTGCAAGTGCAACTGCACTTGCAGATCCTGGCGTTGCAATTACAGCGGGCATTTTCGCCCCGCTTCGGGCCCCGGGACCCTCACAGATCCAGCCGGCTCGGAAAATGCTGCAGAAAGACCTGGTCGTCTTTGTCTGCAACAAACACAACTTAATTTCTGCTCTGAAAGATGGGGCCCGGGGCTCCGGCGCGTGTATTTTTCCCATCCCTCCTATGGTTGGGTTCTCGTCATGAATACAGCTGTGGGGTCTCAACCTTGTTCTCCTCGCCCCCCTCCCCGCTCTCCTCTCGGCTCTCTCCCCTCGCATCCCTCTTTGGGGCTGCGAAGTGTGACACCGTCGCCACGTTCGAGGACTGCTGGACAGCACCAACACAGTGGGCCCCACGCAAACACAAACGGGACCTCGCCATCCCTGGAGGGCTGCGAATTGTGTGAAACCGTCGCCACGTTCGAGGGCTGCTGGACGGAACCAGCACAGTGGGGTCCCACGCAGACCCAGACGGGACCTCGCCACCCCTGGGTGGCTGCGAATTGTGAAGCTGTCGCCACTTTGGACCTGGCCCTCCCTGGGGGGCTGCGAAGTGTGAAAAGGGGGTCTTCGCAGGATCCTGCAGGATCCGGTGCCCTGGCTGACCCCCGTTTGCATTGACCCCCGTCTCTTGAGCCCCGAACCCAGGAAACCCAAGAAATCCGGGGGCACCCTGGAGGCAAGCAGGGTGCTTCTTGGCATGGGCCTCCACTGTAGCCAGTGTTGGGGCCTCCGTGGGCGCCGCAGGCCGCCAAACAACGACAGGCACGCCCTAGCGTTTCCTCCTGAGCCTGTTCTCGAGTCGGGCGAAAGGGGGGGATAGCCAAGGGGGGGGGGTAAAATCAGCTCACGTAGCTGATTTTCCCGGCGCCTCCCGGCGCCGGAGGCGGCTATGTTTCGAGGAATGGGCCCCTCGGTGAGGCCGAAACCAGCTGCATGCAGCAAATTTCGTAACCACCCCTTTCCCAATCCCCCCTTTCGCCCAGCCCGATGTTCGGCGGCTCAAGTCTCACGGCCTCATCAGAAAAGACCGTGAGATCCTGGCGTGGCAGTTGTTTCACAACGAGCGTGTCCGCCTCGTGTCGGGCCCTCCGGATCCTCACAGAACGATCCGGCTCGAAAAACTGGCGCAGGAAGATGGGGTCCGGGCCTCTGGTCGTGATTTTCTGCGATGTTGTGATATTTTCGCCAACGTCGGATCTCAGGGGAGCCCGTTCGGCTGCTCATTCGGCTGCCGAACGGGCTCAGACGCCGAACGGGCTCCGAAGAGAGCCATGGGGCATGACGGAAAAACGGTCCTGCGCAAGGGCCTGGGGTCTTGGACCAGCGTCCCTCAATGGCGGGAACCGCGCGGGGTCGAGGTACGACTCTCGGGTGAGGCGGATGGCGCGCGCGGCCTCCTCTCTGGAGAGGCGCCCAGACTGCAGGGTTCCCTTGAGGAGCACCATCTGGTGCGAGTCCAGCAGGTCCTTTCGGGCTCCGACGAGTGGTGGGGGGGGAAGGGGAACAGGGGGGAAGGGGAAGACATCCTCTCCAACACGCCTTCGCTTTGTGCAAGCTCCGCGTCATGCGGTCGGCATCTGGGGCCGGGAACCGCCCACAAACAACTCGGGATGAAAAACCAGCCCCCGGGGATATTCAAGGAAGGATTGCAAAAAACCTAGGATTGCAAAGAAAACCTGGCTTATTTTGCAATCCTAGGTTTTTTTGCAATCCTGTTTTTTTTTGCAATCCAGGGTTTTCTTGCAATCCTTCGGTTTTTTTTGCAATCCTTAGTTTTTTTTGCAATCCTTGGTTTTTTGGGGGGCCCACGCCGTGAAAAAAGGCACGTCGGGGATCTGGGCCCGGGCCTCCCGCGCCGCTGGATCCTCTCCCCGGTGCCCCGGCATCGGGGACAGGCGCTCGGCGGCGGGCCCCACACCGTCGCGGCGCGCAGCAGATGCCGGGCCCCTCCCCAGACCCCCCACGCCGTGATCTTTCACGCCGCCGACCCCCCGAGGTCTGGACCCTTTCCCCGGGACCGGCTTTTCATCCTGAGTCGTTGACTGACAGCCCCGAGGCTGGGGAAGGGCTCCCGGAGGCCGAACATAGCGAAACACTTCCCGTCGTGATTTCTTCACAACGCGAGGAAGTCTGGGTCCCCCTGTTCCTGGCCCCTCCCCCTCCGGTTTCGCCTGACCCGGTCCGTGAACATGGCCACGCCTGGTGCGCGGCGCTCAAGACAGGAGGGGGGATGGGGGCGGAGGAGGGGGAGGAGGAGGAGGAGGGGAGGAGGAGGAGGAGGAGGAGGAGGAGGAGGAGGAGGGAGAGGAGGAGGGAGGAGGAGGAGGAGGAGGAGCAGGAGGAGGAGGAGGCGGAGGAGGAGGAGGCGGAGGAAAACAAGGAGGATGAGGAGGGGGACGAGGAGGAGGAGGAGGAGGAGGGGGAGGAGGAGGAGGAGGAGGAGGAGGGGGATGGGGGCGACGTGGGCGGCCTGGCGGCCTCCCCGAAAAGAAAGCCACGGGAGGTGGCTCCTCCGAGGGGCCAGAAGCCTCCAAGAAGGCTTCATGGAGGGGGGGAGGGCGTCTTCAAAGAGAGCCCTCTCAGCCCGCCTCGCCATCCTTAGAAAGGCTTCATGGAAGGGAGGAGGGCGTCTTCAAAGAGAGGCCTCTCAGCCCTCCTCGCCATCCTTAGAAGCGCCCCTGGAAGCCGCCCTCGCCACACTCGCCATTCGGAAGCCCCGATCGCTACTGTGAAAAAAGAGCCTCTAAGAGGTCCTTTTAAAGGTCTCCGTAGATTGACCTGCCCAGACGTCCCCGCCCCCCCCCCCTCTTTCGGGGTGTGCTCAAGGTGTCCCTGCCTCAGGGTGCCCCTAGCTGTCTCACAATGTTGGTGCCCCTGGGGCCCTTCGGGGGTGGACAGATCTCCATGGAGCAAAACACCCTCCAGTGAAGACGGCCCGCAGTTGCTGCGGTCTCAGCATCTCGGGAAGCAAGAGAAGAGAACTCGCCAATGGAGGATGCTCTTTCTGTCAGCTTCCGAGCCCTCTGGGCATCGAGAGGGGGGCGTCAGAGCTCACGGGGGCCTCCCTGAACCCCCCGAGGCCTCCGAGAAGCCCCCAAGAAACACCACATCAACGGCGGAGAAAGAGGGCAAGCCAGATAAGAGCTACACCACCATGGGCAACACGACGGGACGCGGCAAACGACACCCGAGAAACCGTGAGCCGCACACCTCCTCGTCTAGGTGCCGGCGGAATGGAGCACCCGCCAGACGCAAGAAGCAGGTCGCAACATGCAGTAGACGGCGGATGAAGCACACTGGGTCCGGGCCCGCCCGCAAAGAGCAGAAGCAGCAACAGCGCATCGGTTCTTGAAGTATGAAGGCGCTGGAACTGACTGGGGTCCGGGAGTCTGAAAATACCGATCCTCGACGACCGGCGCGGAAGCCTCTCTTGAAGCAGCCTCGGAGCCCTCGGGGCCACACGAAAGGGGGCGCTCCGGAGGCCGTGGGGGCCACCCTGGACATCCCGGCGGGCACGCTCGGGCCATGGGCACCTCCCCAGACACTCGACGAGGGGGCTCTCGTCCAGTGCGCGGCCCCCGGGGGTCCCGACCCCTCCCGCGCGGCAAGCCTTCCTCGCGGAGCCATGCAGTCAAAACCCTGATGAGGACGCGCGGCAAGGACACGCAAGACCCTTGGAAGCCGAAGTTGAGATTTTTTTGGGGCGGCGGACGGCGAGAACCTCAAGGACGCAAGAGCAAGGGAGAGCAAGGACGCGTGTCCTTATTAGGGTTTTGACTGGTTTGAGAAGGATCGACAACGGCACAAACATACACTTTTGGCGCTCCGCGCGGATTGCTTGGATCTGCGCTGGCGCGGAGCGCACCACGCGGCGCCGGGGGCGCCGCTGTGGGGGCCCAGCGCGGATCCAAGAAATCCGCGCGGAGCGCCAAACGTTTATGGTTATGGCGTTTGTTTTTCTGCGATTGTTCCGCGCGGAGGGCCAAAAAAGTTTAGGATTATGACGTTATTTCTTCTGCGATTGTTCGATAGTGCGGGGCCCGAAAACGGGCCACAGGCCCGTTTTACACACACACACACACACAAGAAGAGGTCCAGATGTATCTAAACGGTCGGCGGCGCGCAAGCCTGGCGGTGGCGCGAGGGGGGAGGCTCCTCGGCAGGGCCCCGCAAACGTGGAAGCCTCCAAGCATAAGAAGCCTGCTTTTGGTGGCAAGCAGGGGGGGGGTGAGGGAGGGGGGGATGCTTCTTAGGAGGCTGCTTTTTAGGAGGCGGCGCGGGCCTTGCATCTACAGACAAGGCCCGCGCCTTCTAAGAAGCAGGGCTGCTTCTAAGAAGCCTTCCCCCCTCCCCATACCCCCCTCTTGCGCGTGGCCGATTCGTGGAACCTGGAACCACGAAGCCTCTGGAACTGCGAAGACTCTGAAACTTGGAAACTCTGGGCTCCCATGATGGGCCCAGAAACTTCCAAGAAGCCCTCTTGGAAGCCCCTGGGCCCTTCCGAGAAGGCCCCCGCCTTCTCAGAAGACCTCCTGCCGTCTCAGGAACCCACCACCTTGCGCCGCCCCCCTTCGGTGGCAACCCACGGGAGCCTCTCAGACCATGTTGTTGGCGCCTGCGAATCGACGCTAATCGACACGTCAATACTAGTCGACGCTGAATCAACGCTAATCGACGCCAAGCGACGCTCATCGACGCTGAATTGGCGCGAACTCTTCGACTACCAGACGCGAATCGACGCCAGTGCATTCTGAAGACGGCATTGCGAGGATACACAAGGCTCCCATGATTTGAAACGGACCCCCTTCTGTTCACCCCGCCGACACAATCAAACACTTACACGTCGTTCATTTCTAATCGTGCCCATTTCTCATTGTGCTCGTTTCTAATTGTTCCCGGCCCCCTAGTGGCCAGGAAGAGGCCCAGGACAGAAGAATCAGAAACGAAAGGATCCTGGCCCCCCAAAAAATCAAGATCTGTCGAAGAATTAGACACGAGCAATGTGTAGGTCGTTTCAGATCGTCGGAGACGTTGGCCAGGCAACGAACCATGCTGCCCTCCGCGAGAATGCCCGCGACCCGGCCCGGCCCGCCCCCTCACACCCTGCCCACGCCCCGCTTCGCGCCGACGCCGTCGGGGAATCAGCTATATCCTTGGGCTTGCCCGGACGGCGCCGGCGCGCATCGCCACCGGTCTCCTCGCCCCCTCCGTCCCTCCCCGCCCGTCATCGAGAGGCCTCCTAGATACGGTGGGGGCATTGGACGAGGAAGCCTTCGATAAGGGATCCAGGGTCTGGAAGCCAGTGGAACTCCAATCGTGGGTTGGACATGGATATCACCGCCGCCCTCATCAGAAAAGGAACCCTGCAGGGTCTGAAGCCTCCTTGGCACGTTCCTTAACGAACGCCCCCGCTGCATGGGGTCCGAGCAGACTGGGTCGCAAGATCGCGCCGCATCGCCGAGGCATCGCCGATGCAGTGTCGACGCACCGTGGATGCATCGGCCACGTCGTAGGCGCAGTGGCGCAGTCGGTGTGGAGAAAGTCGGGCTCCACATCGAGCCCACCTGCTCCGACCCCATCTGGGGGCCTTGGAGCATCGCCAGGGGAGACCCTCCTTCTCCTCCTCCTCCTTCTTGTCCTCCTTCTCCTCCTCCAAATCCTCCTCCTCCTCCTCCTCCTCCTCTTCCTCCTCCTCCTCTTTCTCCTCCTCCTCCTCCTCCTCCTTCTCCCCCTCCTCCTCCTCCTCTTCCTCCTCCTTGGTCGAGCCAGACCCTTGGTCGAGCCGCACGACCCAGGTCGATGTCCGCGGCGCCGCCGCGCTGGGCGCTCTCCAGCGTCTGGTACAGGATCCGGTCACCCTGCACCTGCAGGCGCAGCCAAGGCAGCGAGGAGGGGGGAGGAGATCGACAACGACAGTCAACCAGCTA